GACCCAGGCAGCCCCAGGCTAAGCCTCGCACTGCAAGGCTACAACTCTCAAACCATCCTTCCTTCCTCCAAGCCCTACTATCCATAACTGTCAGTGGCCCCTTTTTGTTAAGGCTTAATATTCAAGGGAGAAAAAAATCTTACTCTCATGACCTGCTGGCCTAAAGGAATAAGTCCTCCAAGACAGAGTCCGATATGACCACAAACCTTGGCTTTCCTGTCTTCTCCATTGCAGTTAGTAAAAAGTAGTTTCTCTCAAAACTCCTGTATTCTGTTCCCATGCTTCCTTACAGAGTCATGTACAGTGTATTAAGGGTCAAGGTCTAGGTTGTGGTGGTATTGTTCCCCAAAATATTGTGCACGTTAATAAACTTATCTGGGGTCAGAGAACAGGACAGCCACAATATTAAACATAGAGGATAGGCAGTGGTAGCATACGCCTTTAATCCTAGCATGCCAGAGGCAGAAATCCCTCTGGATCTCTGTGAGTTCGAGGCCACATTGGAAACAGCCAGGCATTGGTGACTCACGCTTTTAATTCCAGAAAGTGAGCCTTTAATCCCAGGGAGTGATGGCAGATAGCAGAAAGATATATAAGGTGTAAAGACCAGGAACTATCAGCATTTGGCTAGTTAAGCTTTTAGGCTTCTAGCAGCAATTCAGCTGAGATCCATTCGGATATGAGGACTCAGAGGCTTCCAGTCTGAGGAAACCGGATCAGCTGAGGAACTGGCAAGGTGAGGAAGCTGTGGCTTGTTCTGCTTCTCTGATCTTCCAGCATTCACCCCAATAACTGGCCTCAGGTTTGATTAATAAGACCTTCTAAGATTCCTGCTACACTAGGTCTCTTCCTCTGCAATACCTGTGAAAAACTATGTTCCTCCTCAAGGTCTCCTAGGCTATTTCCTGAGGATACTCCTCGTCTATTGTCTGAACTCCTCCCTGAGATGCTGGATGACACTGTCAGCCTCCTGAATTTCTCCCCTCCACCCATCACGTACTGTACACACTGATTCAATTTTTAGACTGCAAATTTACCCTTGTTCATCCCATACCTAAGCCATTTCCCTTGCTAAGCATTTTTGTGTTTAGGAACCAGTATGGGATTTCAAACCAGGGACACTCCACTTTTAGGGTCCTGCAGTGCTGTAAACTCCCTTATCTCTGACCCAACAGGTTCAACCAGAATTTTCTAAACACTTCCACACTCCCACATCTTGTCCTGGATGCCCCTTTCATTAAAGACATTAAAGACACAGCTAAAATGGCACTATCACTGCCTCCTAGAGAAATTTAGACATTTTTGTTTCTGGATTCTGGTAGCATTTTGACCTCCACCCACATGCACCTTGTATTAGGCCCTTGAACTTCACTTGAGGCTGTACCTGCTTTCTCAAAAACTGTGCTGATACAGAATCTCTGAGTTCCTTTCAGGCAAGGCCTGTTTTCTCTTATTTATGTAAGTGTGATTCCCAGGACACTGTAACAGTTTTGTAAATGTTGGATCCAAGAAGGAGTGCTCCCTCCTTTCTAGAGAGGTGTCCCTTGCTCTTACCCTGAAGACCTCCAGGAAACAAAGCATGGGGAGGTGAGGCAAGGACGCTAGATTCCATGAAGCCTGCCATGTTATGAAGCATCACTTCCCTAGATTCTCATCTGTGCTGTCATTGCCTACTTGGTTCTTTGCCTAACACCCCAGCAACACTGCAGAGCAGATGCAAGTCATGAATGAGGGTTTCCTGAATGGGGACTGTTCTTCTTCCTTAGTTCTGGTAAGTAGGGGAATTGTAATGTACTGAAAGTGCCCCGTCGTCACAGTACCTGACTGCTAGTTGGAAGCTCTGTGATCTCAATGCATAAGAGCTTCCTCTTGAGTCACCCAGATACCCAGCTATAAGAAGTAGCTAAGAGTGGAAGACACACTGCACCATAGTCTCCCAAAGTTTGAAGAGGACAGATGTGTCATGTGATAAGGGAGTGCAAAGTTCTGATCAATGTGTTACAGGTATGAAAACTGAATGAATTAGCCAGATGTAGACAAGAATGAATGGTCATTGGTTTGTACAGATGATGACTATCCACTTCCTTCTTGTGAATCCTTCAACAATTCTTGTCCCAACAACAGTTGGACAAAATATATCTGTATCCATCCGGTGACCAGAAGAGACCGTTATGCTTTGACATATCTCTTTGATCAAAATTGAATGAAAATATAGATTAAATCACTTGCCAAACACATGTTTTTATTCACGTTTTAGGATTAAAAGAAAATAAGGACTAATTTGGCCAGAATGCAGTGCTGTGAGAAAAGCTGGATACAGGTTCGCCGACTGGAAATGCAAGTTCCAGCCAGTTACTCGTGGAAGCAACATTGTTTCCAAAGATATGATGGAGGAGCTGCTTCAGGCCCCTTCAATTGGATGAGAATATGGCTGCATAAAGCAAGAGACATCCTCTACCATAGCCCAGAGGTGAGTGTTTTAAGGGGACTTTTGTTAGAATTGGAGATTTTCCTGCATCTGTGTTCTGCTCAAATGTGTTCAACTATGGGGATTGAGGGTCCAGAGTCACAGTTTCTCTGCTTAGTAAGTTTGCCATTGTTTCTGAGTTTATTGTACTGGCATAGATTAAATTCCAAACAATGCAGAACAATCATCCAGTGACTAAGAGTTTACTTCTGGCACAGAAAAATTGAACATGGAATAAATGAAACAATTAGATAGTGTGGCCTGTGGATGAAGGAAACAGAGCAGGGCATTGTTTGGTGTGGTGGTAGATGGATGCTAGCTACTTTGTATAGTCATGGATGGAACCACTTTCTCAGACGTTGCTGATCTCTGACTTGAATTTTGGAAAGTAAGAAGCCTTACTAAGTTCTGGAAGAAAATATTAGTCAAAACAAATAATGAATTCTAAGGCCTTCTTGAGGAAATCAGCTTATGCAAAGAGCAGGAAGGAAGTTAAATAATATGGGATGAAACAGTATTGTCACAGATGTGCAGGGGTTTTTTCCATGTCTCACTTCTTGAGAAGAAAACATTTGCACATGAAAAAACCAGGTGAGGAAATCTCCAAAGTTCACTGGGATTGGACTAGTATAGGCCACAGAATGGAATATATTAATGGGATATAGTGGGAAATATTCTGTTCCAAAACTTTTGTCAAGTCAGGGTGGACTTGAGCAGGCTTTCAAGCAAGGTGGACACTGAGTGAGGCCTCAAAGGTTCACGGAAGTGAGGATATTAATCAAAAGTCAGCATTTCAGTTATATGGAACAGAAGGAGCCTGGGCACTTGCAAGTGTTAAGGAGATAGCCCAGAATGGACCAGAGAGACCCAGCCCACATATTCTAACACCAAATAATCTGGCTGTAGCCATGTTTTCCAGACTTCACAAAATGGGTTTCAAAAGTACATATCAGCCTCTCCCCGAGATCTCCATTTGTAGACTGTGGGAGTGGGAGCTAACCTCTAAGGTCCACAGTGTGCTGAGGGCCTGAGTCCTTTCAGAGTCAAAGTGAAAGCTACAGGGCAGCCTGAGGAAGTCCCACTAAAGTAAAGCTCTACCAAACAATGGAACTGTATTTTTCATAAACCTGGTACCAATCTGAAACTCCCTTTTATGAATAGCCCACTTAACCTTTCTGTCTGCAGGGAACCAGGTTTTAAGCTTCCTAGATTGGACAGTGCCAATGTCACTTGAAATTAAGGTGAGGGTTTAGGGTGAACTGCGAATGTCACTTGAAATTAAGGTGAGGGTTTAGGGTGAACTGCAGAGCTTCTATTCCACATGGAGGGACCAAAATTATTGTCACTGATCCCCTGTGGTAAGTCTGGCATCAAGATGTGACCCAGTGTTATGTGCATAAACCCCCACCCATCTCCTTATTCCATCCCAGGATTCTGTGACTAGGGGACACCTTTCAAGATTTCTAGAGTGGGGAGGGCCTGGATCATTTCAGAGTCAAGACGAAAGCTGAGAGTGGGTAGTAGAAGCCCCATCCTAGATAGACAGTCCTGGATCCAGCAGCATCCCTTCTGAGGATCCACCAAAATGGGCTGACCTTCAAGAAGAAGCACTCACTTGATGTTTTTCTATATCCTCATAAGATAACTTGGGAAACTTCTAACCATTTTTTTGAGTTAGCTTGAGTTTGAGGGATGCCTGAGTGTTAAATTTACGAATTAGCCCCCTCCCCACCATACCACACCCACATGTAAGGGCTTGGGAGATGAAGGATCATTTTGTGAGGTTCCTGGACAAGAGACAACCATTCTGTATCATATTTTCAATAAGTGAGAGCTGCTTGAGGTGGATTACAAGAGTCCTTTAAGAACAGGAGGTCCCCACATAATTCAGTGTCATGCCCAGGGTCAGTCTAGATTTCAGTGGAGCAAACATAGAAAAATGAGACCCTTCTGCTTTCATTGCTGGGACCTTTGAATAGGCACTATTTTCTGTCATTCCCGGAGGGAAAAGGTGGTTGCCTAACTTGCAGACTGAAAGTAGGACCTGAGAGTGGAATGTGGAAGCTCCACTCTGGATAGAGAGACAAAAGATAGTATCGTTATTCCAGGGTGATATGCACTACTCTAAACTGGACTGACTTGTTGAGAGGATCTCTTTCCTTTCCCTCAGGGCAGGTGGGGAGATTCTGCTCATAAGAGCTATTTCAGTTTCCCAGGGAGAAGAGGACAAGGTGATTTTTCTGAGTCCAGATGGAAGCTGGCTGTGGATATCAGAAGTCCATTCTAGATAAAAAGGTCTGGATAATCAAACAACATTGTGTCATTCTGAGGGTCTTTCATAAAATCGAGGCTGAGTTCTGGCAATGTGTGGACTCCTAAACTTCCGCATCTGCATCCGGGGACTTGAATGACTCAGCCGTTTTGTGAGGTTCCCGGAGGCTAGAAGATTCCTCAGTGCTGATTTGTGGAAATGATCCCCTCCCCACTGTTTCACATCCACATCCTGGTAGTTTAGTGACCCAGAGCCATTTTGCGAGGCTCCTGGAAGGGTGAAGTCCACTCGGTGCTTTTTACATCTGGGGATTTAGGCTATTCAGAGCCAGCACACCAGGTTTTCTGCATCCAGGAACTTGGGGGACTCAGAACCCTTTTGTGAGGGTCCTAGAAGAGGTAAGTACACTTAGCATTTTTTTGCATCTGGGGACTTAAGGGACTCAGCCATTTTATGAATGTCCTGGAAGTGGGAAGTCCTCAGTGTTTTCTGAAACCTGGGATTTCAGAGACTCAAAGCCATTTTGTGAGGTCCCTGGAAGGCGGAATTCCAGTCAGCATTTTCTGCATCCGGGTATTTGGGAGGCTCAGAGCCATTTTTTTAGGTTTCTGGAAGGCGGGTCCAGTCAGCACTTTCTGCTTCCGGGGACTTGGAAGGCTCAGAGCCATTTTGTGAGGTTCCTGGAAGAGGGACAGCCTCGCCTTGTTTTCGTGCTTTTGGCGCCCAGGTGAGAACTGAGGGTGGGCTCAAAAATCCTCTTTGGGGATTAAAGGACCTCAAGTAATGTAGTCTGATACCTTTTGTTAGTATGGTACTATGTGAGGCCTTCTTGTAGGCACAAGCCATGTTTTCAGTCTGTCCTTGGGGACTGTACAGGCACATTGTCAGGGTTAAGAGGAAAAAGTCATCTCTTGTCCAGGATAAAGTCTGACTGGACAGTGGATTTAGAAAACCCTAATTCAGATAGAGGGTCCCACAATATTAAATCTGTATCCCTGTGATCAGTAGTACACCAAATGGTGATCTACTTTTAGTAATAAGCCCTTTGCTCATGTGCTCACTGTACAAAAATACAGAGGATACTTAGAGGTCCCTTTAGATAGATGGCAATTTTGCTTTCGCTTTCCGTGTGTGTGTGTGTGTGTGTGTGTGTGTGTGTGTGTGTGTGTGTGTACACGCGTGTGTGTGTGTTAGGAGTGGGAGCTCTAGATCTGTGGTTCTCAACCTGTGTTTTTACAACCCCTTTGATAATGAAAAGACCCTTTCACAAAGGTCACCTAAAACCACTTGAAAGCACAGATATTTACATTACAATTTGTAACAGTAGCAAAATTACAGTTATGAAGTAGCAACAAAAGGAATTTTGTGGTTGGGGGTTACCACAACATGAGGAATAGTATTAAAGGGTCACAGCATTAGGAAGGCTGAGAACCACTGAACTAGATCAAACTCAAACTGTAATTTGATTGGGAGTGTTCTTGGGGAACTAGTTACTTCCTTACACTCTCCAATTAGTCAGTGCACAGGAGACTCCAGGAAGAGGAGGGGTCCAGGATCTGTAAGTCAAGATGGGAGTAGTTTGAGAAACCCATCGCCAAATAGATAGGCTAAGATAAAAAAAAAAGCTGCATTGTATACTTTTGATAATATTGTTACAAACTAAGGCTGATTTATGGGAATGAGCCCCTCCCCTATCTCCAGTAACGGCTTCCTGGGATTTGGGGGGATTTAGAGCCATGTGTTGTGTCGAATTTCTGATGCTCAGAGGATGCCTTAGTGATGACTTGCAGGATTGAGCCCTCCTAATTTGCAACAGGTCCCTTCTCTACCCAGCATGAGGTTCCTGGTGGGGAGACAGCCAAATTATCAATCCAGGAGACAGCAGAAACTGCACCAAAGAAACACTTTCTAGATAGAGGTTTCTCAGTGCTGTGGATATCTGTATGCCATGAATGTGTTCTTTTGATTGGTTAATAAATAAAGTGCTTATTGACCAGTAGCCAGGCAGGAAGTATAGGCAGAAAAAACGAGAGAGGAGAATTCTGGGAAGTGGAAGGCTGAGTCAAGAGACTCTGCCAGCCGCCATGATAAGTAAGATATAAAGTACCGGTAAGCCACGAGCCACGTAGCAACTTATAGATTAATATGAATGGGTTAATTTAAGATATAAGAACTAGATAGCAAGAAGCCTGAGCCATTAGGCCAAACAGTTTAAGTAATATAAGCATCTGTGTCTTTATTTGGGTCTGAGTGGCTATGGGCCTGGGCGGGACTGGAGATAACTCCAGCTACATCTCAGTTAATGCATTCTGGTACCAAGTGAGGCCCAAATGTTTAAAAGAGAATCTTGCCCTTTACTTAGATCGTAGGTGGGCCTTCATTCTCTCCTAAGCACTGATAGACCCAAGCAAGAGTAATAAGATTCAAGTATTGTTTTGTTTTACCCTGTAAGATGTGAGGGCAGAGTACTTTTGAGGAGTAAGGCCTTAGATCTGAAGAAGTAAGGTACCAGGGCCCTGAAGGAGTAGCAAGTAGACCTCTGATATTATACATGAAAAAGTTTCACACCCCCTACACACTGTCAGCCTAGACTGTTTCTGTGGAAGACATTGGACCAAAAATGTCACTTCTTACTTCCTGTTCAGGGGTTTAGGTGGGGATCATGTTTGGCCTGGGCCTGAATGACGGATCTAAAGGTCAGCAGAGGCCTTTTAAGGAGAATTTGGAAAATCTCCAGAACCCTCAAGACAAAAGAAGAATCTTCCTCATTCTGCCTGTCTTGATGAATTCCCAGGGGTCTCAAGATTGGATTTATTCTCACTTCTTTTTCCTCCTCAGGAAAGTAAAACTGTACAGTGTGTGGTATCTCCAAAGCAGCAGTGGAACCACCTGAGATTACCAGAGGGAGGTGTCCATTATCTGCCAGCAATCCAGGTGAGAAATATGATGAGGACTAATGGTGTAAAGAAACCCTACATCTGCTAACAAAGGACCACTGTCTGTATGGTTCAGTTCTTATGCCTGGAGATCCCTGGATGGGTAGCTAGGGTTGAGCACTTAAGATTAAGTGCATGCCTACTGGTGATAGTTCTCTTGTAGTTGTACTTGATCCTAGGATTAATGTCAGTTCTGAGGCAATAGCTACATATGTAGAAGTGAGCTGGTGACACATCTCATCCACTTCTATGTGGGGTCTCTGGTAGTGATCACATGACCTGGGCTCATCTCTGCTGAGATACGGGTTCCCTAAGTTCACCTGAAGTTCATCTCACCTATCCTTGAGATTTTTCCTTTACCTCAGACCTTATCTACCCCTAAACTCTCACCTCATGCCTGAGATAGTTTAAGTAAACAAGCCACTTAATGTCTCTGAAACATGATCCCAGGACATACGTAGTCTATACAGTACATTTTCCCTTGACTTCAGATATAGTCCTCAAAGGAGGTCCATACTGAATCCTTCTGCTCTCCAAGGCTTTAAAGATCTCAGGGAGGTGAGAAATGTGACCAGAATGGGAGACCTTGGTTAACCTCAGGGCTTCCAGGATCTAGCAAGTTCTAGTCAGGACCTCAGAGGATGATTGGAAGAACCTCCAGCACATAGCACAGACATGGGTACAAAAAAGTCTTCCTTGCACCACTTGCTCCACAAAAGTTCTCTCCAGGGTCATCAGTCTGAACTCCCTGTCTTATTTCCAGGCATTAATCTAAAGGAGCTGAAGGACCTATTAATAACAGCTTGACTCAAGTCATCAGAGGCGGTGTCAGGTACATCAGTACGAAGGTGAGACCTGAGAGAGTCCCATCAGACCAACACAGAGACTCAGTACCCCCCCCTGCCCTCCTGTCAGCAATGAGAAGACGTAGGCACTTGGGGAGGATTCCCTCCCTTCACAACCTCTTCCCTCTGTGTCATAAAACATAGAGCCTTGCCTTAAGGAATGAAGACATGGGGGTCACATGGAACAATCTCCTCCTTTACACATTTATCCAGGTGAAGATCAGGCTGGTCTCATATGCAGGAAAATCAGGTCATATTGATTTGGTCTACCTTTTGTACTTTCTCAGTACCTGGTATAAGGAGGTTTGAGACACCCTTACTTCCTTTGGTTGCATCTCAGAGATACAGAACTTCTGGATATTTGCCTCAGGCAAGACGAGTGGTGTGCCTGGAGAAGCCAAGTCTTTTCCCCTTTCAGTCTTTTAGGAGTGCATGCAGCACCATAGTCCTTTGGCATTAGAATATCACCCAAGCAAACTCCTGTAACAAGCTTTGCTTGAGAGCTGCCCCAGGGACAGAGTTAGAGTCCTCTTACATTTTTCCTTTCTTTCACAGGCTTCTGAGTCTTCATCCCTGTGACCTGCGTGGTTTCCTGCCTGTTATTGCCAAGGAAACTCAAGATGGATCCTACTGAGAACAGCCAGAGCTTCAACCTCCCAGACAGCCCTCAGGCCCAAAGGGAGGCAAGGGGCCTGGAGAGTGCGCAGGTCCCCATAGCTGAGGCTAGGGAGGCAGAGGCCACTGCCACCACCCCAGGGCATATGTTTGCTGGAGGAACGCTCAGCTCTCCCCAGAGTGCTCAGAGAGCCTCCTCTCCTCCCACTGCCATGGGAGGGGCATCATCTGCTGAGGCCTCTGGAAACCAAGAAAGGGAGGTGGCTGAGCCCGAGTTTCCCCCACGGGCTGTACTAAATGGAAGGATAGTTGCTTTGGTGAGATTCCTACTCATCAAGTTTCGAAAGATGGAACTAGCCACCAAGTCAGAAATGATGCAGAGGGCCATGAGAGATTATGAGGAGTACTATCCTGTGATCTTTAGTAAGGCCTCTGAGTGCATGAAGTTAATCTTTGGTATTGACATGATGGAAGTGGACCCATTTGTCCACTCCTATTTCCTTTTCCCTGCCCTGGGGATCACCTATGATGGGTTGATGCATGGGGTTCTAGGTGTACCCAAGACAGGGCTGGTCATAATTGTACTGTGCATCATTTTCATAGAGGACAATTGTGTCAGTGAGGAGGTGTTCTGGAATGTGTTGAATAGCCTAGGGCTGTATGCTGGTATGGATCATTTCATATTTGGGGAGCCCAAGAGTCTCATCACTGAGGATTTTGTGCAGGAAGGGTATGTGGAATACAGGCAGGTACCCAACAGCCATCCTCCTCGATATGAGTTCCTGTGGGGCCCAAGGGCCTATGCTGAAACCACCAAGATGAAGGTCTTGGAATTTTATGCCAGCATTGTTAAGCAGGATCCTAGATCCTACCCTGAAAAGTATGCAGAGGCTTTGAGGGAGGAGCAAGAGCGGGCCTAGGCCAGAGAAGGCCAGCAGATGACAGATAACACTGCTCTGATCAGTACAAGTTCTACTGTACTAGCAATATCTAACCCACATCAGGTCAGCCAGAGGGGTGAAGTAAATAGTGGACTGGTGGGAGAAAGAGTATAAATCATTCCTTTCTTACTATTCTGTTTGAGTGACTTGAGGAGGCTCATTATAAGATTTTGTTACTTTTACTACAAGATTCATTTGCTTGAGATTTTTAAGGTTACAAATGACATTAGTAATGTATCTGTTGTTGGTCCAGGTTAGGAGAATTTGTTATCTTGAAAACAAACAAGAATGTTTTCTAATATATAATATGTCATAAGATACAATAGCATTAAAGTTGGAATTTCCTGGGTGATGGAAAAGAAATTGGCATTAATATAAAGAACAGAATAAAATTAATTTTTGATTGTGTTACCATGTTTAGTCTCTCGTTTGGGTTAACTAATTAAAATTAAAACTAAAGTAAGCTAAATGGAATCTCTTCCTAAAGCCTTCACTGGAGAACCTGATCTTTGCAAAGTCCTGTGTTAGCAGTGAGATGAAGGAGAAGCCAGATCCCTCTCTACCCATGGATAATTGGTACATAGAAGAAGCCAGATCCATGCTTTCTTGTAGATGGGGTGAGTGCAGGAGCCACAGCTCTGTGGGGAAGACAGAAATCTTTTTAGACCACAAGGCCCAGTACAGAAGGGCTGCAAAAGACACTTCTGGGATCAGAAGTCCAGCGTGCCTTAAACCAAGGCAACTTGGGAGGCTGAGGGAATTGATTGTAATTAAAGTGTGAAGTAGCTAAGGCCAGACCTTCAAGAGATGTGGCTGCCTTAGGGATGAGAGAAGGGAAAACTACTCTGAGCAGTCCCTGTTGTCAGCAAACTTCAGCAGAGAGGAATCAGCCTGGGATTGTCACTCAGTGGTCAAATACTTTCATGTCACATGAAATCAGGAAGATTGTAGTCCCATCACATCAAAACACAAAACTTAAAAAATTAGCAGAATCCTATCCTGGGACAAAAATGGGAATTGGAATTGAATACAACTCATGCACTCCAAGATTTACTGCTATACTCTACAGAAGGTTCCTAGCATATGTGGGGGAATCATGGAAAAGCAAGGCCTAGAACTCCTAGACAGGGTCTCTTAAGATTACTTTCAGTATTTCTTATGTGTATCAGTGTTTTTCCTGCATGTAAGTAAGTGAGGTATATATGTACCTGGTGCCTAGGGTGGCCAGAAGTAGGTGCCAGATCCTTTGGAAGTGGAATTAGAATGTTAGCCTGCGAGTGCTGATAACAAAGCTTTGGTGTACCAAAAGAGCAGCAAGTGCTCTGAATTACCAGAGCTCTCTAGCCGTAGATGAAGTTAAACTGAAAAAAGAATTATTTGTGTGTGTATATCAGTGTGAGGTCAATGCATGCATACCACTGTACAGGTGTGGGCAGCAGAAAACAACTTTCACATTGTTGCCTTCCACCATGTTGAAGCAGGACCTCTTGTGTGATATTTTGATTGTGTTCTGACAAATAAAGCTTGCTTGGAGTCAGAGGGCAGAGCTAGCCACTAGCTAACCATAGAGGTTTGGAGGACTCTAGAGCGAGGAACAGAAAGTGTTAAGATACTATCTCTGCCCTTTGGGATTGGACTAATGAAAGAGGAGGGGACTGTGGGTGCTCTCCTGCTTCTCTGATCTTTCAGGTTTTTACCCCTGATATCTGACTCCTAGTTTTTATTGATAAGATTAATTAGATTAATGCTTCAATCTCTCTTATTTCTGTTGCTGTACTTCTTACTCTAGCCGTCCTCAGAGATTCGAACCAATTTTTCCTCTACCTCCCACCTCAATAAAGGAGTGGAAGGATTTAAGTTGGACTCTATTGAACCTCACACTTTATGTGGTTTTGAGGGATATAACTCAAATTGTCAGACTGGAGCATTTAGCACTTTTACACTCTGATCATCTCTTCAATCCTAAGATAACATCTTACTTCAGTTATCTCCAGTGCAATTGGTGAACTACTGAAGGTAGTGGTTTACCTGGAAAAGCCTCTGGGAGAGATGGATGTGAGAAGCTGCTCCTTGACTCAGACTCCAGGAGCGTCATTGTAGGGGTAGTTAATTTGCACCCAGATTTTGATGTATACATCCAAAAAGAGGAAGGATTTGGTGAGTTTTATTCCTGAAATTTCATTGTGACTGGTTAGCTATACTGTGCCCCACTGTCCCACTGGGCTACATGTTCTCTGATATATCCTGGAGGTCAGGGACAACAGCATGGCCCCAGGGAGGAAGGGGCTAGAATAAAATTCTAATAAAAATAAGTCATCTTCCCTTCACTATAGTTCCCCTCACTAAGGAACTGTACTGGTGCCTTCAAATGCAGGACAAGTATTCCAGCAGCCCTTAAAGGACAGACTCTATTACTTTCTAGTTGAAAAGCACCATGGCCCCCAGCCTTGGGAATTTTTCCAGTTCCTGCCTGGTAAGTGACAGTGCTGGGAAGAGACCCCCTGGGGTCTGTATGTACCTGTTTTTTTATCAGATGTTCTGCCACCTCCTCTGGAAGCCCAGAAAGAGTATCCCATCCTTCCTGTGACTGTCTTCCATGCTGACTAACGCACCTGATGAAATATTCAGGCAAAGAATAGTCAGTTTGAACATAGAATGAAATTAAATTAAAAAGAATACATGAATTTCAGGGCAGACCTGGTTGTAGATGCCTAATCAATATATAAAGAATGCTACCATCACACAATATACAGTAGTTACTTTTTTTGTTTTACATGGGTAACAATTACACAATTTCTAGTTACCCCATCACAATCATCACCCTCCTACTACCTGTGCAGGAGGTAACACACATAGTATTTTTCATGATTTTATATATATATACATATATATCTCACAGATATTAATTAGTATTGCACATATTTCATAATATGGATTATATGTATTTTTGCTATAAAAATTCAAAAATACAAATATGTCACAATTCTCTCCAAAAAAATTCTTTTGTTAGCTGGCTTCCTCAAGGCGATTCCAATATTCTTTCTGCACAGCTCTTCTGAATACTCTAGAACCAAAGGTTTAACTCTATTTGGTGTTGAAATGAAACCTGGTATAATTTTGTATGTTGACACATATTGTAATTCTTTAAACTATGAGGCCCTATATATTTGTCATAAAAGAACCTTGTTAAGTGATGATTCCCAAATTCCTTCTGTGTAGTTTGAACATGGAAGGAGCTATGTAGCCTCTGTCATTGACACAAGCAAAACTGAGATGAAACAAACTGAAAGGCAGCATTTCTGTCATGCTTTAGAGGGAAGACTGAGCATGTGTGGCAAACTTCTACAGACAAGTAGGAGAGACAGAATGTCTCTGCAGAATGGGTGGAGACAATGAAACCCGAGGAGCACATTACTCTACACTGTAGAATAGATCTTGGAGTCTACAGGATCCAGCAATGATAGGCAGGGGATACTTTCATGTCAAGGATCAATATTTGGAGCTCAATAAGGAGAAATGTAAGACATAGCAGCTCTAGAGGGCAGAATCTTGGGACACTTTTCTAAGATTTCCCTCAAGATCCTCCTTTTCTTCTAATAGGGAAGACCATAGAAAAATCTAGGCTAATTCCTGCAGAAGTGTCAGGAAGAGTAGTCATCTGACACACTGCCCAATGTATTCTGTTCTACAGCAGGCCTAGCCTCAAAGAAAAGTGTTCTTATCTGAATAACTGAAATCATAGAAAACCCTATTTTCCTCACTGAAGGGAAATGCTTAATTGCAATCCATCATTATACAGATGAAAATGGTGCTGAGAAGACCATGGTGAAGACCAGGGCAAAGGGGCACAGTGTGATTAAAAGACTACATCTAGTCCTGGACTGGGCATAAGCTCATCACCACCCCAACAGGGAAAGAACCCCAAAAGGCTGTGCACTTCGTATCACATGTAACCACTCTCTAAGGAAAAACCAGGAATTATAGAGGCAGAAAAAAATGGCATCACAGAGATCAGACCAACATACTCAGAGCCACACCAAGCAGTGTACAGCCAGATACACGAAAACCTTCAAAGCTCTTTTGAATGCTGTATTTAGTTGTATTCTGTTCATGGAAATGGGTTTTATAATGACATTTCCTTATTTTTTCCCTAACAGTCTTTGAGTGGTCTTTAACTTTCCCTGTCTGGGTAATGCTTCAGTTTTCATGAACCTAATTTTTATCATTTTATTGGTTTAATTTCTGATTTCACTGTCATTGACTTCTGGTGCCCCTTTTATTTCCTTGGTTCTGCTTGGTATGGATCATTTGTTTTTTAAGATCAATTAATGTGAATGTTTGTTTAGTTCTGACCTTTAATTTTAATCTGAACAATAAATGGTTAAAATTTTCTCTGTATTTGCTCCATAAGGAACCCTCTCAACATTGCCATGGTGCCAATATTATCCAAAGAATAGTAAACCTATGTTGTACAAAAGAGAAAAGTTTAGCACTCTCTGTCAAGAATGGAAGAGGTACTCACTCAAGAAACACCATGCACATAGTTAAACAGCTGCCACCTATTTTGTTGCATCTGATAACTGTTTCCATATTATATAAAACCAAGTAAGTCTGACTTTGAAAGATACATACTACCTTTCATATGTTATTCCTGCATTTTGCTTTTTTACATATGTGTGTATATGTATGTAAGTAGGTTATGAAATTTTTAAAAGGCAGCCATGACTTCCCACTCCCCTAAGCTCTCTTTCCCCTGACCCTTGCCCTCCATTCCCCCGCCCCCACCCCCAGTTTGCTCATGTAGATCTCTTCCATTTCTCTGTCAGTGGGTGATCCCTGTGTCTTTCTTAGGGTCCTCTTTACTAGGTATCCTCCCTGGAGTTGTGAGTTGCAGTCTGGATATCCTTTGCTTTATATCTAGTATCCACTTATGAGTGAGTACATAGCATGTTTGTATTTTCTGAGTCTGGGTTACCTCACTCAGGATGATTTTTTTCTAGTTCCATCCATTTGCCTGCAAACCTCATGATGTCATTGTTTTTCTCTGCTGAGTAGTACTCCATTGTGAATATGTGCCACATTTTCTTTATCCATTCTTCAGTTGAAGGGCATCTAGATTGTTTCCAGGTTCTGGCTATTACATGTGTCCTTGTGGTGTGATTGAACATTCCTTGGGTATATGCCCAAGAGTGGTATAGCTGGGTCTTGAGGGAAGTTAATTCCCAATTTCCAGCTGAATCAGGAGCAGAGTGGGAGAACGGGGAGGGAGATACCATGATGAATGAAGACCCCAAGGGAATAGGAAGAAGCAGAGTGCTAGAGAGGTCCCCAGAAATCCACAAAGATACCTCCACTATAGACTACTGGCAATGGTCGAGAGAGGGCCTGAGCTGACCTGCTCTGGTGATTGGAGGGTCGAACACTCTGGCTGTCATGATAGAACTCTCATCCAGTGTCTGATGGAAATGCATGCAGAGATCCACGGCCGAGCCCCAGGTAGAGCTCTGGGAGTCCAATAATCGAGAGAGAGAGGAGGGATTGTATGAGCGAGAGATATTGAGGCCATGATTGGAAAAAGCACAGGGACAAATAGCCAAACTAGTGGAAATGCATGAACTGTGAACCAATGGCTGAGGAGCCCCTGTGGAACTGGACCAGGCCCTCTGGATAAGTGAGACAGTTGATTAGCTTGAACTGTATGGGAGGCCCGCAGGCAATGGAGCCAGGACCTGTCCTTGGTGCATAGGCTGGCTTTTTGGATCCTGGGGCCTATGCTGGGACACTTTGCTCAGCCTTGGTGTAGGGAGGAGGGGACTGGACCTGCCTCTGCTGAGTCTACCAGGCTAGGCTGACTCCCCAGGAGAGACCTTGCCTTAGAGGAGGTGGGAATGGGGGGTGGATTGGGGGGAGGGCTGGGAGGTGGGAAGAGGGAGGAAGGGGGAATCCGTGGCTGATATGTGAAATTAAGTTAATTATAAAATAAACACATTTTTTTAAAAAAAGGCAGCCATGAAAGAGAAAAAGAAGTCTTAAACTGTAGTGAGGGGTAAGAGTAGTAATAGAGTACATATGACAGGAAAGTGGGATGAGGACTTCTAGGTGAGGAAAGAGACAAAGGAGGGGAAGAGGATGGGGAAAAGAGTAGAGAAGAAAATCAGCAGACACAAAATATGTATGAAAATGCCTAATAAAGTATTTTATATTATCTGCCAGTTTTTTTAAAATTTATAAGAAAAATAGAATTCCAAAGCCCTCCTGACTACGAAGAAAGAGAAATTTCTTGAGTAAAGTGCATACACATTGTGTGTTTCATTTAGACCATGCTTTTGGCACCCTCATGGGCATCTTACTTCAGAGCATTGACAGGTCAATTAAAGACCCTGAACTCATTTTAACACCCAAATGGCCTTGGAGATTTGTACATCACAAGACCCAGAGATCTAGCCTTACCAGTGCCGCTAATGTGAGGATAGGCATATTTGCAGGCTGAGTGGATATTGAATAGAAAAGATCATTCACCCTTGAGGAAAAACCATGGAAGTATAAGGTACCAGAAAAGTGGGAGAGAGGAACAGGGTACCAGGAGCTCCAGGAATGTGGTTTGAGTAGCTGGCATGGAAAGGGGGTAAGACAGTGGTTTGTGGTGGACAAATGAGTGTGGCCTAACAGTAGCACAGGGATCTTCATGTCTCCCAGAGTCAGTAACTGTGTATCATGAGAATTAGGGGACTATGTCACTGAAAATTTGGAGTCTTGGCTTAGAAAAATCCCTCAAGTTGTTGATAGCTTCAGTGGCACTGGTTTGGGCTCAACAAAGAGACCAGCAAGAAAGGTGGTTGAATGGCAGAAGGAGAAGCATTGAAGGAGAAGCCTTTGAATTGGCCAGCAAGTAACATCATCCAGAGAACCTTTTAAAGTGATATAATCACTGCCCATTGAATAAAGAAGCTCCCTTCATTCTAGCCAATAGGAGCATTAATCTATGGGCATAAGCACAAATGAGTAGAACACAAATTGAAAGACATTTTCAAAATCCTATTTAACAAAGCAATACCACAGCATTTCTCTGTAGATGTATCCAACCTTCTTATTAAATAATAAACACGGAACCAATGCAAAGAAGAAAGCCAAGAGGTCAGAGCTAAGAGCTAAAACCTTACCCTTCCTCCTGCAGTGGTCCTACCTCTCCGAACCAGAGCTACCCCTGTGTTAAAGTCTTTATATAGAGTTCCTGTCCTGCCTTCTCATTGGTTGTAAACCCAACCACATGACCGCCTCCTCACAGCCTGTCTGTATAGGCCTCCAGGTTTTCCATGATTGGTATTAAGATTAAAAGCATGTGTATCCAATAATGGCTGTATCCCTGAACACACAGAGACTTACCCAGCTCTGCCTACCAAGTGCTGGAATTACAAGCTTACGCTACCACTGCCCTGCTTTCCTATGGCTTGCTAATAGCTCTGACCCCCGGGCAACTTTATTTATTAACATACAAATAATATTTTAATACAAATAAAATATCACCATATTTCTCCCTGCTGGGGCATGTGGTTTCACCAGCAATAGCTCACTGACTAGGCTTACAGTATCCAACATGTTTTCTATACCATGGATCAGTCCTTAAATCCAATTTGAGTTGATCTAGTTGTACTCATGGCACACCTACACTAAGAGTTACAACTTTCCTGGCATGCTGAGTGTGTACCCACAGGATCTAGAGCTAACCAGAACCCTTAGCAATATCTTTCCAAATATTTACATGGTGCTTTCTGGGATTAGAGTGGTGTCTTCAGCAACAGGGACATATCATTTACATCCATATATCTGGCATTCAATGAATACTGTGGCACTAGCCAGCATATGGGAGTAAAATCTTCAGACATTTTGCACACTAATAATGCATAAGAAGGTAGCCTCATCCTGGAACTCTGAGCATGTTTCCTTGCAGGAAAATATACACAGTGTGCCATAGTATGTCTAACTTCCAAAGAATCTTTTCCCCCTGCACTGTTTTTCTCCTAAGGTATTCACTATTCCTTATTGTCATTGATGCTTTTGTGGGTTGCTGTAGACTAAGGTATCCTCAGCTCCAGTATCTACTAAAGTCTCAGTGTTCCCTACATTAGAAACAACACAATTGTCTGCACGATATTCAAGTGCACTCAGCATTGGCTACACTGTTAGGGGAAAAGCATGTATAGTCCTCACCCCAATGAAAGCTCATCCCTCCACTGCAGGAACATAGAGAAGCATCTGTACTTCCCTGTTATTAGGGCTTCTGGTTAATCATTGTTTGTGCTTTAAAACTGCCCAAAGTAAAGCACAGCCTTTGGCTTTTGTTTCAAAGGATTTCATTAGGAATTTCAGCATGACATAAATCCAGCTCTATTTGTCCTTGGGAGGGCTGAAAGGTGCCTTTGTCTACTTCTCATTCCCCTATATATACATCATAACCAGCAAGCCAGAACCTCCATCTCGTCATCACTCTTATTCAGTTTTATTGCCAAATCAGAGGCTAACTTGTGGATGCTTCTTGCATGTCCATTTCCCATTGAAATTCCCTCCTTATACAGACAAGTTTCTTGGGCTAATAGCAGAGCCACTAAGAACTTCCGTCTGGACAGTAGGGCAGCCCCGGCTGCATACCAGGGATCATACAACTGAGACCTCAGCTAGGAGGCATATAATTTATTAACATATATAGAAAGATGAGCATATTGGGATTCTGCTGCAAACATCCCACTACAACTCATTTTTTATTTTGTTTGTTTCTATTTGAATACATGTCTCATATGACTTTTCTTTTGGAGAAAAGATAATGAATTATTCACTTACACTAAGAAGCTGACAGATCAAAGAAAGGAGTCCACCAAATTCAGTGATCTAGTTTATTGGTAGTTACTAAATGAAACACCTAGAGGAGGTAGGTGAAGGGAGAGGGGAGATAGAGGTGAGCTGAGTGGAGTGGAGGGAAGGGAAATTGTGGTTGAGATGTATTGTGTGAGAGAAGAATCTATTGCCAATAAAAAATACTTATATTAAATAATTTAAAAATAAAATAAATAAAAGATCACAAGATCCCCAACCCTCTAAAAAAGTAAATCCCTGTACAGGAGCTGTGCCTGCAAAAGCTGATTGACTGATTACAACACCAGGAATGTGGAGAGTTAGGAATGCTGTAGGTCCAGAGCATTTATTAGAATTATCTTGGCTAGTTTTTAACTTCTTAAATAGCCATTCCTTGCTTATCTCTTCATCAGCTCTAACATCCTTTGAGTAACAGAGGAAAAACACCTGGAATTTATGAATAGATGCTAGTGTTCACCAATCAAACTAATTATGAATGTTATTGGACAGCATTTGAGGCCTCATGGAATTTTACCTGCTTACCCACCTACATGATATACCCATCAACATATTTAAAAAGTAGCAACCCTTATGGTTTTCTTTGTTCTGTTAACATAAGGACTTCATAAAATTTTTTCATGTTAAAATGTAGAATTTGGGGTGACCAAAGTTTGTGTAATTTGATATGTTAGTTAGAATGAGAATGGCTGCCATAGGCTAACATATTAGAATACTTGGTCCCCAT